CGTCTAAGGGAAAACAAGTCCTCGATAAAAAACAAGCAAATTAGCTGCCTTCCAAATTGAGGTTTACAGGCAACCATCCCAAAACAATACCAATTTTAACAAGAATTGCCGGTTTCTGTGCAAGTAGCACAAAAGTTTTCGCCGCCGAACCAATAAATATTTTTACAGTTCTTTTTTTTCAAATAAAATTTGTTTGTATTGAGTGATGAGACAAGCAATCATACGTCTAGATAGTTAATGAAGTACCAAAAACAAAACCAAAGTTAGAAAAAAACCAAAAACAAAAACTGGAAAAAATGAAGAAAAAAAAATTCTCATGTTTCTTGCTGAATAATTTTGTTGTTTTTTTTTGAAAAAAAAAAAAACATTTTGTTGCCAAGAAACGCTAAATGAAGTTTTCGAAACTAGCTTTCTTGGAGTAAAAATAATTATCATTTACTTGAATGAAACGTTTTTCCCAAGAAACCTACTCGCTCGCTTTACTCGCTCGAAATTATAATAAAGCTCAAACCTATTTTTCTCGACACAAAAAAAAGTTTTGAATAATGTTTTTCTTTATAAGACCTACTCGCTCGCTTGAACTGCTCGAAGTAAGACTAAAGTGCAAACAATTCAAACCCGTTTTTCGCGACGCAAAGAATGTTTGGAACAATGTGTTTGAGTCACAACTAAAAAGGCTTGAATAAGATTTTTTGTCGCCTCTTCCGATGATTATTTCTGGTAACTAATTTTGGCTGAGAACAAACTCGACATTACAAAGCCAAACTGTGTATTTTGTGAGTTGTAAGCGGATTCTACCACAGGGATGCTCTCTCTGATTTTATTTTGTTCTTTGACCTGAAAGGACAAAAAGTGAAAAGGCCTTAATAGGATATATCAGTTGCTCCATTCCGAAGATTACTTCTGGCAATTAATTTTGACTGAAAGCAAAATCGACATTACGAGGTCAAACTGTGTTTTTTTTTTAAGAATCGTGAGCGGATTTCCCAACAAGGACGCTCGCTTTGCTCTTCCTGTCTTCTTTTGATTTTTTTGATCGTTGCGACAAATTTTCAACATAGTTGAGATTTGTCTCAGGATTCCAGAGACCTACACACACCACATTTTGCGCCTCGCCAGTGCATAGTTTGGTCTCGTGATGGAAACTAGACCAAGATCAAAACAAACCGGTTTTTCTCGACATTGAAAAAACGTTTTAAAATTTTTTTAGAAACTGCTCAGACCAGGATTGAAAAAACTCTACTACGACATCTTACTCGACACGTTTCGATGATTATACGTGGTTCCTGATTTTGCATTAAAAAACGAAAAAAAAAATAAAAACAACTGAAGACTAAAATCGTACCCAATTTTTATAGCTGGAACAATAATTTAATTAGATTCAAGAAAACTGAAACTTCCTATAACATTTGTTGCTTACCTTTAGTTCCCTCTAGCTGGATATTTGTAAAATTTATAGACATGTAGCAGAATACTCCTATTACAAAACAAAAATTTTAAGTAAACTGATTTGATGAATATTTGCTTAGACTGAAGCAAAGCTTCTGTGTGTAAAAATTAGAACAGTGTATTAAGACAGTGTAAGTAATAGAACAGTATTTACACTGTTCTAATAATTTTAATCATATATACTGATACGGAAACGCGTAATTTTCATGTTTTCAAAAAACGAAATTACGCCAAACCCTACTGTTTTGCTTCTTCAGTAGGCGATTAACCGCTTAGTTAAAAGAGAAAATTAACTACTCGCTTTTTTACTGGAAGTCTTAATCTCTGATTACGCTGGGTAGTTTTTGAGAAAAAAGTGAAAACAAAATCCCAAAATTGATCAAAAAATCAAAATTTAGACTTTTACTTAAGTCCATAAATTTTTCTCTACCAAGCTTCTGCCTTCCAGACCCTAATTTTTAAATTTAAGATTTCCGCACTTTGATGTTTTTAAAGATTGAACCCTTAATATCAGATTTAGCGATTCAGCACGTAGCCTTCGAGAATAATGACGAAATTTCTAAAAAACGGTAAAAATCTGAAAAGAAATGTTTCCGAAGTTCATATCAACTTTTCTACAAAAAGCAAGGTAAGACAGATAAAGCAGGGAAAATCTAAGCATCATGTTAGTTTTGATTAACTATCAACCTCAGATCAGCAGGCTAGTTTTTGATAAAAAAGAATAACTTTCCAAGAAACGGGCAAAATTTCAAAAACTGGGACAGTTTCTCAGGCCATATTTTTTGAAAACACCGGACATAGCCACTTACCCAGGTAAGATTTAGAAAAATGCTTTTTTTTCAGCTAAACCCATAATCTCCGATTTGGCAGGGAAAGTCAAAAAGTTTTAAAATTAACAAAATTTTCAAAAAATGGACTTGTTTGAGGCCATACCTTTTTTTAACCAATTTTAGGGAAGGGCCACTTGAAAAGGTGAGAGTTCCATAATGTTTTTGTAATTGAAACCTTCATTTCTGATCCGATTTGTTCAATTAAATTTAACAAAATTAAAAATTCAAAACAAATAGACCAAAAATTCCCCTATTGAACATTTCGTAGGCCGTAAAACGTGAAGTAAAATGAAAAAAAGTAGCGAAATATGGAGGCACTTAGAAGAACAGCCGGTTTTTTATTGGTATTATTTCAATGACAATCAGTTCAGTAGATTTGAGAACAATTTAAATTTCTGCGAAAGTGCAAAAAATTTCCAACTCGACGCAAAAAAAATTGAAAGACAGCAAATCCCATACATTTTCATATACATGATTCTTTTAAGCAGGACCTAACACTAGCCAAAAATAAAGCAGCAACATAGTTTATTGGTCATTTTTTTCCATTCAACTTTGAAACCAATATTAACCAGTACCAGACGGGTTGTAATGGCAAGCAAGGAAAAATTGACGGTTTATTACCAGTGGTTCATCAATGAAGACAAAAACATCTTGTTCATTTATCTTCATCCAATATCACTTTAGTGAATTAGGCATTAACGATTTCAATTCTTTTAAAAACCAAATAAACAAAAAAGATGAATGTTTTTAATTTAAATTGTTTTTCAAATTTGAGCAATAAAATTTCAACTGCTTTCGAAAGTTTTTTTTGCCAGAGAAGCGCTACATAAGACATCAAAAACTAACATTTGATCTAGTTAAATTATCATTTTTCAGCCTCAATTGGTAATTTTATGAACACAGCAAACGTTACTCCATCGGTTTACTCGGGAATAAAACAGACAAAAAATCAAACTGGTTCCAGTCGACAAACTGGTTCCTGTAACTTTTTAAGTGCTTTAATGTGATTGATATATCACTCAATCCAATCCGATCATTATTTTTGGTGCCTGATTTTGCGTGGAAAATAAAAAAAAAATAAAACACACATGTATACAAAGTTCCTCCCCATTTTCAATGGTCGGAACAATAATTTATAGTGAAACTTTTTCTTATTCATTTTTTACAATGGAACTTTTACCTCGCAAAAAATCTGAATTGGATTCCAATGAAAAGTAAAGTTTGCGTTTTTTTTTGTTAGTCCCCGGTCGTGTACAGTGCAGGACCAACCGTGGGGGAAGTATATTTCATCCATTTCGCAGCAGTCGGTCACACCTTGAGAAGTCGAATGACACTGGGACCCCTCCAACCGTGCACGAAGAGGAATTCGAACGCATGACTCTCGTGCTGAGATACGTGTGTCTAACCCCTTGGCCACGGCTGCTCTATAGTTTGAGGTAAGCAATGCTTCGACATTGATTGTCGCTGTATGAAACACTATGATCGAGATTTTTGGTTGAGTAAAAACTTAAGGCTAACTTTTCACATAAAAACATTGTAACATTTGTGCACATGACTCGACTTTGTTGGACCAAAAGTTAGATCCTGTTTTATTCTATCCAATCATTTCTGATTCATAATTTGACACAGTTCAACCCATAAATCGACTTCGATGCGATCGAATTTTTCGCCCAATCCTCTCAGCCTGGGTCCAACATCAGACATCTTTCGACTTTTTGGGTTGCACCACGAGTCAAGTGCATCAACCCGGGAACTGACTAAATTTTGCGATTGGCCTATAACTAGAGATCATTTTTCGATAAAACATATGAGCTTGACAATTGCCAATTTGTCCAATTGAATGAAAAATTCCACTTATAAAATCATTTTTACCTACTTCAATATACTATAGCAGAATGTTCGAATAGAGTTCAACACTCAGGAATGTAACCAAAACAAAGAAAAGTTTAAGCTATTAAAATTTATTCGTCACACTAATTTCAAGTATTTCGTCCAATTGCGTCGTGATATTTTGTTTTTATGAAAAGCAAAACTTTTACATTAGAATGTTGACTGTTTTGACTCTTCTGCGGACTGAAGTTTTCATTTTAACAAAACCGTAAGATTCCAAGAAACAAAACGTCAAATTGTTTAACGCATCTAGTTTAACCAATTTTTTAACTTTTTGTTTCATGGACGTATCAGTCAGGGGCGGATCTAGGATTTTCTCGAAGGGGGATGCGGATTTTCAAAAAAAATCGAAAATTTTGCCAACTTTTTTTTAGTTCGACCAAATTGATTTTCAGAGCTCTCCCAAAGCAGTAAAAACACCTTGCCGCAGGCAAAAATTTGAAAAAAAAACAGGCCGAAAAAGGCGTTTTTAGGCACTTTTTTGAAAATGTTGACCAAAAAAGCGCGTTTTTTCGGCGCGCGCTCCCCCTTTAAAATAAGTTTATATTGGCGCAGGCACCTGAAGAAAAATTTTGGGGTGCGTCACCAAAAATGAATATCTCAAAATAAAACAAAGGGGACCCTTTGGGTTGGCAGGGCGTCCGCCCCCACCCAAAATTCGCCCGTTATAAGGAGAGCTCAGAAAATATTTTTGATCGGCAATGAAAAATTCAATCTTATTTTAAAAATCTACTTTTAACACTCGAGAAAATCTAGACCCCTCTTAGCGCACACAAGGAACCATTTATAAAAAAATTTTGATTTTTTTTGCAAGGTGACTGAGATTACTGTGTAATGATTATTGTTCAAAATTAGTGAGTTGGACACAATAGGTGGTCGGTTACTTTTATCTTCGTTTACATTTGTTCTACACAGTTTGAACCACTCAAACTTTCGTTCATTTTATGACGCACATATAGTCGAAAACTATAAGCTGAGAACAATAACTATAAAAACCATTTATCGATAATCATATTTTGCACTGCAACGTTTTTTTTCGTCAATTTGCGTGTGGGCATAAATAAATAGCAAATGAGTTAAGTGCGTGAAAAATGGACTTGGAAAAAGAAGACCGGGAGCAGAAAAAGGCGGAAGAAACAGGTTCAACAGAGGTCAACAATGCATTTCTGACAGACCCCTCGACTAATAAAGGTGTGTTTCTGTTTTTTATTGTTCGTCTGTCATATTTCAACCCACTCGGCTTCATTTTTTGGGCTCGGCTATAGGACCTCTCATAGGGAACTTCGGTCGAATAATGTCCACACATAAATCACAAGCTTCGGCGATTCTACAAACTCATTTTAAACTCACCAGATTTAGTGATCAGAAGATATAATAGTTAGGCTTATCTATTAATGAGGTAAACAGCTAAACATATCTTGACTGAGACACTCGGATGTACCGGTGAGTTCGTTGTATTATTTTTTAATTATTAAGTATTTTTAAAAATTATTATGGGCTTATTATCCGCACGTAATCAGCTTTGGTGCAACCAGTATGATGGCGCAAACTGTGGTAAAACCCTCGAGCTACTTCTAGATCAACTGGACTCACAAACCACTCAGTGGATGAGTGCCTGTCGTTAGTGTAACTTTAACTGGACTTGTTCTATTGTTCTAGAAGATTCAGAAGGGCAGGACAATGAAAGAAAAGAGGCAGCAGATCCTAAGTTGGGCGTAGACGGTACAGCTGCGGTAGTCGAGTTGGATTCGGAGGAGAATAAGGGCGAGGGTGAGATGCGAACAATCACACGACTCACAAGTACACCAGCCACATCACACAAAAAGTAGGCGACAAGTAGACTCGAAGTGTCGGCAAAAAACCCACGCACTCTGTTAACAAACAATTTTTGTGTTCATGTTATTGATCGACAAAGACCCGATTTTTGAATAGAATCTAAAATAAACATAGTGAGGTTCCAAATGGTTGGCGAACTTATTAAAGAAAATTACAAGGAAATCGTAAAACAGCAAATTGATTTTCAGAGGTACTGATATCCAACCATTCAATTGACAATTTTGACAGGGAAAAATATCTTTTGAACGCGATAAATTAAGCCAAGTATGCATACTTTAGTTCCAAATTGGTGAAATTTGACCGAGAGACAACCGATTTATCCGAGATGACGGTTCAGAGGTTCAATAACCGAATGAGCAGCACCCGAGAAGCACCCAAGACACCCGAGAGGAGTCTGGCATTCGACCCCTGCAGATTACCGGAGACACCTCTGGAGCACCAGCCGAGAACTCTCTACTTGCTCGCAACAGATACTCCCAAGAGGGCCCCGCCCATTAAGGTGAACAAACCAAAGTCAATGGGAGATAAATAATTGAAAACAGATTAGAATTTAATAAGCTGAACTCTGTCAAAGGATCGGAACTAAACTTGCTAATGCATAATCTGCTATCAATGTTTGGAATCTTTTGAAAAATTCTGCAACTGACGAAAACACCAGGAATCGAGGACACAAATTGCAAAAACATGGCAAAAAGTTGAATCTCAAACTATCAGTTAAATCTCAACTTTGAGTCTCAAGTTGAATCTCAACTTTTGCAATACATTTTTCGGCTCTTTTCGACTTTCTCATCCCCCTCGTAAAATCACAAAATAGAATACTTGGTTCACTTGATCCCGCATACTTGTTTTTATTTCGTTTAGAAAATCAAAAGTCATTTCAAATAGGCTTTTATAACTTCAGAGATCATCAAACGGAAAACCAATTTTTCCACTCAATTTGCCGAAAAAACAGTTGCGACCAAATTTTATTAGTGTTTTCCGTCAAACTGTTTTCAGGCTTGGCGAGGATACGGGGGAAACATTTACTTCGAACCGGTCAACCTAAAGAAAGCTCCCATTGGGTCCAAACCCTCGACCACAATTTCTCTGTACAACCCACCAGTGAGCCAGGAACTAACCAGGCGAAGCTCACTAAACTACAAGCTAGCTAGTTATTACGAACAGCATCAAAGTTATGAGTATAAACTACCACCTGTTGTCGCACCTGTTCATTATGACGTCACAATGATCGAAGATTGCGACGGGAAAGTCGGACGAGCGGGTAAAAATTGGGCTCACGACGAGCGAAGGTGGATGCGAGGTCTACAGTCGACAGGAAGCCTTCGGCTTTTGCCCTCGCAAGTGACGAGAAGCGCACGACCGACTGGAGGAACCAGAGTGAATTTTCGACTGGCAAATGAAGCTCTTGGCCGAACTGCGATTAAAAAGTCACAGCGCATAACTGCGTCGGCTAGCCGCTTTTCGGACGAACTGCACACAAGCTCGCCAGTAGTATTTTAGCCAATTAAAACTAATGATTTACATTGATTTTCTAGTGTTCAACACAGTGCCTTACTTCGAGCTCAAAAGTAGCTCCAGGAAAGGAATTGCATTTAATTCTATTTCTTATCAGAATAGCAAGTGTTTTCAGATTGTCTGAAAACGTTTCAAAAAGCTGGAAACATTCTGATGCCTGAACAGCTGCCCACTCGAAGCCAAATATTACAATCTAGAGCAGTGAGAACTAAAATACTTGATTAACCAGCCAAAAAGAATCAAAAACCGAAAGGAAAAATTAACAAGGATATCCAGTTGCTGTGCAAGTAGCACAGTATAATCCGACCGTTTTCATCAAAAAAAAAAATAAAAAAAACTTTTTCTCTCAAATTAGTGTCGTTTTTATTGAGTGGTGTGTTTGGAGAACTATACAATCGCATCGAAAATTAGTTAATTAAGCATCATCGACAACATTTTTCTCAAAAATGAATAAAAAACAAAAAATTTAAAAAAACTTCAAAAAATTATTGACTTCTAACTTTTTGCTCAATATTTTATTTAAAATTTTTTCTGCCTAACAAGAGCTAAATGAAACTTCCAAAACTAGTTTCTCGACCCAGTTTTCAAACCAGTTTTCTCGACACTGGGACAATTTTTTTAAAATCATTTAAGTCGTTCGAATCACGACTAGTAGGGCTTTAATAAGTTATATCACACGGCCCACTCCCATGATTATTTGTGGTACCTGATTTTGCGTGGAAAACAAAAAATAGAAAACTAAACTAAAACACACCCGAATACGAAGTTCCTCCCATTTTCAATAATCGGAACAACTACTAGACATTATTTTGTTCTCAGCAAAAATATATTACTTCGACCAGTATTGTAGTTTAAAAAATTAGATAGACAAAGTTGTATTTTGCTAACAAAATCACCGAAGTTATTGAAATGAAACGAACTAAAACAGACGAAATAAAACAGAAACGTTATTGAAATGAAACGAACTAAAACAGAACTAAAACGAACTAAATCAGAAGTTTGGAATGTAAAACATAGGAAATCGAAGATAAAGTAATGATCGCAAGTAAACATAAAAAAAACACTTACTTTGTTGAATAAATCTCAACTTTCGAATTTCAAAAAATAGATGCCCTTTCAGTTTTTTGAAATTCTAGAACGATTTATGATTGGCGCTTTTTGATAACATTAACCAAAATTAAGAAAACTGGATAAACAGGAAAAGTTTTTATTCCGCTGGACATCTAAAAATTACATTCCACTTTCGAAAGTAGAAATCGTTCACGTTTTGCTGAGCCATTTCCACGTTCGTATATGGACAAAACTACTGACGTCACTTTTAGCAGATTAATTTTAATTGAACTCAAAAAGTGCATATATAGCTAAGTGCATTCATAAATACATCAATATGTATGAATGCACATCTGTAGTTATTAGAGACCTTTATGCACATTTAACATTTCCTCCTGGAAAAAAATAATCAGCAAGACTCTATATAAAGAGTCTTCACTACGTTCATTACCCTTATAAACAAGGAAACCGAAAAAAATTGAATGAAAATTATTGAAATTTTTCAACTTTTGTGTTCCGAAGAAAACATATATCAGGCTAAAGCTTTTTGATTTTCAAGAACTGCTTATGATTGGAACTTTTTCCTTAAGTTCAAATTAACCCAATTTAAGAAAACTGAATCAACGTGTAACTTTTAAAAAGTGCGCTGGAAAATTTAATTCATAAATGCATTCTTATGCATGACTCACTACTGTCGTAATTGGAGCATGTTAAGACTTTTTCCTAAAAAAAATCCTCCAAAAATCATCAAGAACTATATAAATGAAAATCACTTTGTTCTTATAATCATGAAGTCTATGAAGTTGATTTTGAACTTCTTGAAAAGCTTTATTCAATCTAATATATAAGAACCGTAAAACAAACATTGCCAATAGACAGTTGGAAAAAGTCCATAAACGCCAAGTAACAGAAAAAAATACTGGATATTTTTAAAGTCCATTTTCCAATTTCATGAACTTTCGAAACTAGAAGTCAATCACGTTTTCCGCGAACTTACCAATTGCGCTGTTAGACAGTGGAAATTGCCTCCTTTTAAAAAAAAATTAACTGGGCATACTGAAAAAAGAATCAAAAGTCAATCGCGAAAATTCAAACTTGAGCGTGGATAAATTGCCTAAAAAAAACAAAAATCATCACGAACTATATAAGAGTTTTCACTACATTCGTTGACTCTTACTATAAAAATGAAAAGAATGTATATTGTTGCAGCGCAAATTTAACGAGTATAAATGCAGCATATAAAATGAACCAAAATATAAATGCATATAGGGACAGTAGCCGAGCGTATACAGGGTGCGTCCCGGCGAGTTCGGCGCCGGTTCGAATCCCGCCTAGGTCACTTCCTTCCGAGAACTCAAATATGCTCCGAACTTGATGGGACGCTACGTAACCAGTGTCGAACTTCCCCCCCCCCCCCCCCCTCCCAAAAAAAAAAATCTATGTTAAACGTCTTTTCGCTCTAATTTGGTTCAGCCTTTATTAAGGCTGACCTGCAAAAAGAGCAATTTGTCTCAAGGACAAATTTTGGCCATTTAGCAGCTTGCTTCGAATTATCCAGATGTTTATGGCCGATGTTAACAATGATAAAGTATGTTAAAAATATCGTTATGCTACGAAATCTCCGGAGTTATTTTGCCGAAAAAATGCTCATTAATTCAAGTGTTTAAAAACCTTTTTTTTACGAATTGTGGAGATTGACGCGCACATTTTGGCGCCCCAAAAGGGACATTTTTTGTCTTTAAACCCCCCTTCAAATTATCATTCTTTGTCCCCATTTGACGACTTCTCAGAGCATTCTGACCGACTTCTGAGCATTCTGACGACTCAGAGCATTCTGACATCTTTTGACGACTTCTCAGAGCATTTGACGACTTATCTGAGCATTCTGACGACTCAGAGCATTCTGACATCTTTTGAAGACTTCTCAGAGCATTTCGACAAATCGACCTCCCAATCACCAGCTTGTTCTGTTGAATTCGGTTCGGCTGAAGTCTGCAATTCGATATAGGCTGAACTTTTGTCGGCAGCCAAAAGCATCACAGGTTTCTCGAACTCATCAAGGGACTTGACGAACAGTTTCAGTGGTTACGAGCAGTTTCAGTGCTTTGCTTCAGTGGGACTTGTGAGTGCAGTTGTTCAGACTCGTGAGAGAGAAACTTCCGGTGCCGAAAATCTCCAGAATTGTCAAAAACTGTAAGACTAGTCTAATTTTTACAAAACATTCTTTGCAATAAAATTACGTTCCATGTGTTAATGTGTTATTACCAACTCAAAGCAAGCTACAAGTGGTAATTTTCCCGATACCACACATTTTTGGGTAATTGAGAACGGATTGAAAATCCAGAAAAACGGAACAGACAAAGGTACTAGATCATTTTTTTTGATAAATTTCGCACTCGAACCCTCTAACCGTCAATTCTGTAGAAAATTTTTGATAATCGTTAGTTTTAGGTCGTTAAAACCACACAAAAATCAAAAATTGTTGAAAAACTACAACATAAAATCCCAAAGTTTGCTTATTTATCCGATTACCACTTATGTTAAGTGGTCTGGGTAGGCAGTATCAGGCATGTTCAGTTGAGTTTTTTCATCCTCATGTTTCTTCCGCGTGGTTGTTGGAATTCCACCAATTTGCCTGAAACCCCACCTCGTTGGTTAACTAAAACTTAAGTTGCCCTCTCCAACGCATCTGTTTACCCGCTCACGCATTGTTTCTGTTTTGTCGCAGTAATGTTAAGTGGTCAGCTAGGGTGATATTAAGTAGGTTAAGTTGAATTTGTTCATCCTCAGGTTTCCTCCGCGGGGTTATTGGAGTTCAACCGACCTACTCAATTCCCAGCCCCACTGGTAATTACCGCCGCGAATAAGGGCTCTTAGCGTATGGTGCTCATACTCGGGGCCAGTTCTCTAGACCACGCGCTCCGTAAACTATCCGCACCGTCTCAAAAGCGCGTACAAACAACAACCGTAGTTTGAGTACTGGCCGTAAACTATCCGCACCGTCTCAAAAGCGCGTACAAACAACAACCGTAGTTTGAGTACTGACCAACTTAAGAGCCTTCTTTTGAGATACAAGGAAAATATTACCGCTATTGTATACTGTCGCCGCAAAGGTACGGACAATATAGAAAAAGAGTTGAAAAAGACAGTTATTCTCGTTCTTAACATAGTTGAGGATTTTATCTCAAAGCGAAAGGCCAAAGGACAAATACTTATCGAAAAGTATAAAGAGCTGCATCAGCCCCCTTCCCTTGAGTTGAAGACCCTGTTGTTACTTAAACGATACAGTGCTGACCTAAGTACGCTGAAAGCTAAGAAGAAGCGGAACCGTTTGTCGCCTAAAAATCGTAGGGCGATTCAAAATAGACTTAAAGCGTTAAAACTTCAAGTTACTCGCCCTTGTAAGTTATTGACGTATTAAAGTTTTTATTGGATTTACTTGACTGAAAATAAAGTATTTTCTGAGAAACATTTATTTCTGAAATTATTAAGCATGGAAGTTGAATTTCAGAAGAAAATTAAGAAGTTGTTTGAGAGACGTAGCAATCTCAAAAACGAACTTTATAAATGCCACGAAATTATTAGGGAATACATAGAGAGTCAGAGTCGTTGCTCAAAAATTGATACCTATATTGAAAAATGAAGGAACTATATAGAACAAGCGGTCGAGGTAAATAATGAGTTGATTGATATGGCTGCAAAAAGTGCCAACCCCGATTAATTGATACCGGCACAGGATATGTGGCTTCATAAGTTGACGCAAAGCAACGATAAAGTTTCGCAGGAAGCTATCACATATAAAACAAGTTTTGAACCAATAACAGAGCCGGACAACATAGATAGCAGCTCAAAAAGTTCACATCATTCCGGAAAAAGTGAAAAACCACAGTCGCATAAAACAGATACCCGCTCTAAGTTGTCACATCGAAGTAGCCAACATCAGCAATCGGGTTCTCAGAAATCTAGTCGTTATATCACCCCTCCGTCGAAAACACCTTCTGAGAAAAAGCGCGATTTAATGCTTTTAAAGAAACAACAAGAGAAGCTTCAGAGGCAGGCAAAAACGTCATTGAGGCTGAAAGAGCAGCAAAACAAGATGAAACAATATTTTTTAGAACAACAAAGCAGTTTAGAGTTGGAAGAATTGGCTGAATAACACAGGAAAAAACTGGCAGAAATTGAGTTTAAAGGGCTTGAGTTAGAAGATGAGTCGCGGAAATCAGCGAGAATGCTGAGGGAAGTGGTTTAATTCGAATCTCTCCACAACTAACAATAGACGAAAATGATCGTACGCGTCACTGGGTCGAATCTGTCGACCACAATCAGCCTGACCCTGTTGTAGTTCCCAATCAAGAGCAGCACGTTCGTTCGGCAGCTCCTGAGAAAACTTATCCTGCATTAACAAATTACATGGTCTCATCAAGTTTTACAGCAGTGAATAATGGCCAGGCAGCTTCTAGTGATCCGGGATTGTATTTCAGTAACCACATTCACGGACAACGACATAATTTGTCGAATTTTGTCCAATCTCAGATTTGCGTTAACAATCCAGTAGGGTTACTGCAGGTCATTCAACCTGTTTCTGATAATTTGCCTCAGCAAACTTTTTTGTCCACTCA